AAGGAAAGAAAATTACAGACCAATATATCCCTAATGAACATAGATGCAAAAATCCTTCGTAAGACATTAGCAAACCGCATTCAAAAACACATTAAAAATAATATACTATGATCAAATAGGCCTCATTCTGGGGATGCAAGGTTGGTTCAACATACACAAATCAATAAATGCAATTCAGCACTTAAATAATATTAAGAACAAGAATCATATGATCATCTGAATAGATGCGGAAAAGCCTTTGATAAAATCCAGCTCCCATTCATGTTAAAAACACTGGAGAAACTAGGGATACCAGGAATTTACCTCAACATTACAAAGGCAATAGATGATAAACCGAAAGCCAATATCATACTGAATGGAGAAAATCTTAAAGTATTTCCTCCAAAATCAGGAACAAGACCAGGATATCCACCACTTCTATTCAATATAGTTCTCAAAACTCTAGCTAGAGCAATTAAGCAAGAAATGTAATTAAAGGGATACCAATAGGAAAAGAAGCCAAACTATCTCTTTTTGCTAATGACATGACCCTATATCTAGAAGACTAAAAATACACTACAAAAAGACATCAAGAGCTGATAAAAGAATTCAGCAAACAGCAGGATACAAGATCAATGCTTACAAATCAATAGCTTTCCTATACTTCAACAGAGATTATCCTGAAAAAGAAATTAGGAAAACCATCCTTTTCACAATAACCTTAAAAATTTTTTGCAAACTAATCAAGAAGGTGAAATATCTCTAAAATGAAGATTATAGAACACTGAAGACAGAAACTGAAGATCTTAGAAAATGGAAAGACAACCCATGTTCTTGGACAGAATAAATATAGTCAAAATGGCCATACTACCAAAAATAATATACAGATTCAATTCAGTCCTCATGAAAATACCAATGATATTCTTCACAGAACTAGAAAAAAAGTCCTAAAATTCATTTGGAAGAATAAGAGATCCAGAATAAACAAATTTTCAGCAAGAAGAATGATACAGAATGCATCACAATACCTGATCTCAAATTATACTACAGAGCTATAGGACAAAAACAGTATTACTGGCATCTAAATAGACATGAATACCGATAGAATAGAACACACAAAGATAAAACCCATACTTAAAGTCACGTGATACTTGACAAAAGTTCCCAAAATATATACTGATGAAAAGATAGCCTTTTAAACAAACGCTTCTGGGAAAACTGGATATCCATATGTAGAAGAATGAAATTAAATCCTCTAACCCTGCACAAAAGTCAAATCAAGATGGATCAAAGACTTAGGAATTAAACAAGAAACTTTGCAACTTCTACAAGAAAACACAGGGTCCATACTCTATTCCATTTGTGCAGGCACTGACTTCCTCAACAAGATCTCTAAAGTTTAAGAAGTAAAATCAAGAATCATAAGTGGGATGCCATCAAATTAAAAAGTTTCTACACAGCAAAGGAAATGATTAAGAGTGAATAAAGAGCATTAATAATGGGAGGAAATCTTTGTCAGCTGCTCCTCTAACAGGGTATTGTCCAGAATATCCAGAATCTATAAAGAACTCAAAAAAAAAAAAAAAAAAAAACTTAACATCAAAAAAACAACGTAAACAACACATGGGCAAAAGAAAGACAGACATTTCACAAAAGAACACAAAGGCCCTATAAATAAATGAACAAATGTTCAACATCCCAAGCAATCATGGAAATACAAACTAAAACACTAAGATTTTATCTCACTCCAGTCAAAATGGCAATTATGAAGAACATAAGTAATAAAAAATGCTGGTGAGGATGTGAGGGAAAAGGGACATTCATACATTACTGTTGGGACTGCAAATTAGTAGAACCACTCTGGAAAGCAGTATGGAGATTCCTCAAAACGCTAGGAATGGGACCACCATCTGACTGAGCTATCCAAAAGAACTAAAATCAGCATACTATAATGATACAGACACATCAATGTTTACAGCAGCACAATCCACAATAGCCAAATCACAGCATCACTCCAGATGTCCATCAGTAGATGAATGTATCAAGAAAATGTTATATATAAACACAATGGAGTTTTACTCAGCCAGAAAGAATAAAATTGTGGCATGTGCTGGTAAATGGATGGAAATGGAGAATATGCTAAAAGAAATAAGCCAGACTCAGAAAATCAAGGATTCAATGTTTTCTCTCAAACATGGAACCTAGAATAAAATAAAGGAAAGAAGACAAAGAGTGGGGAAATCAGATGTCACAATGATATAGGGAAGACTGGTGAAGTAGAAAGAGATCAAAAATGAGGGAGGAAGGATAGGAAAGGGGAGAAAAATGGAATGAATTTGAAAAAAAAATCACATTACATGCAAATGTGAATATACCACAGGGAATTGCACCTTTATGAATATGTAGAAAGTACCAATCAAGAATAAATAAATGAGCAAAAGGAAGATCTGTAGCAAAAGGAGAGTGGGGAGGTTAGGGAGTGAAAGGGGGAAGGAAATGTGGATTGAAATTGAATGCCATGCATGTATGATTTTTGTCAAAAAGAACCCAACTACTATATATAACTATAGTCGTCTAATTTTTAAAAACTTTTTGAAGTTAACAAGAGCGATTCTGTTTCAGGGAATATACCCCAAAGAATTGAAAGCAGGGATTCAAATAGATATTTATATACCCATGTTCATAGCAGCATTACTCATAATAGTTGTCTTGATCCCTCTTCTGTTGCTATAACTGTACCATGGCTTGGGTGATTTCATGCTTCTGGAGGCCTGGAAGCCAAAGAGCATGGCACTACATCTGCTCAGCTTCTGGTGAGGACCTTCTGCTGCAATGGTGGAAGGCATCACATGGCGAGAGTGAACAATGTGCTAGCTTGGATCTCTTTTCCTCATCTTATAAAGCCACTAATCCTATCATGGGAGTTTTTGTTTAATGGGGACAAGGTTTCAGTTTTGCAAGACGAAAAAGGTCTGGAGATAGACAGTGGTGATGGTTACCAGATATTGTGTATGTACTTAATATCTAGGACTTTAAACTTAAAAATGGTTCCAATAGTAAATTTCATATTACATATATATTGTATCATTAAAAAAAAAAAAAAAAGAAGAGCAAAGAGGCCTCCATGTTGAAAAGAGAATACCAGTGGCAGGTCCCTGGGCTTCCATCACTGGTCATCTTGCAAAAGAGCCTCTCATGTGAGGAGATGTGTGGGTCCATCAAACAGCCCAACACAAAGACTGCCCTCAAAGCCCTGCTGAAAGAACCTCTGTTTTAGAGCACAGCAAGTCTGAGCAGCATGAACAAGACAGAGGGAGCTTCCCAAGGGCAGAGAAGTCAGCCTGGTAAGTCAGTCTGACAAAACAGGGGCTCATTCCCTCCACCAGCAGGGTCACCATGGTGCTCCTCAGGACTAAGGTCATCAACATGCATTTCCTTGTGCAGTTAGGGAAGAGGCTTGGGCCAATGGTCATGGTCCTGCCAATGACATCCTGTGTGACCTGGTAGTGTCCACAGTCTTGGGCCTTCTTCAGCCTCTGGGAAATGGCCTGTGGGTCCCCTCCCCACAAGATGAGACTCAGTCCTGGTGTCCTCTGTGCAAGCCACAGCACGCCACTTAGCCCTCCAGCCACCACAGCCCCAGCTAGATGATGGCCAGGACTAGACTGTGGTAGGAAAAGAACGCTCATCCAGCTTTTCTTCTATCTCCTACCCACAGCTTCACCCAATCCACCTTTAGAACCCCAGAGGACCCTTAGAGCAACACCCCAACATGGACAAAGAGCTGCCACATGCAGACCTTGTATACCCCAAGCTACTCTGAGGCCCCTCTCTAAGTCTGTCACAATCAATTTCTTTCCCAGAAGTTGGATCCCTGTATACAGAGCTCATCACCCCAGTCATACAAGGGCACCTTCAGCTTGGGTCATTCCACCTTCAATCTGGGCGCTTTGCTTCCCCACTTTTTGGCGGTCCTACTCCTAAAGGTAAAGGCCCCACCCCTCTGGATGTCTTAGCTACCCCTCCCTCACCATACCCTTTCCACATCTTCATCCACATCTTTATGACTTCTCCTCTCCCTGCTCCAACCATATCAAACCACCTACCCTCTCCAAATGGTGCCAATGTACCTTTACCTCTGGGTCTCCACCTACTATGCCCACTGAGTGACCTCCCCACCCCTGATGTGGCCAGCACGCACTTCCTCTCTAATCAAGGGTTCACTCTTTTACAAAGACGTCCATACTTCAGGACAAGCACCAACCAGCCCACCACCTGAGTGCCAGTGGTTCCTGCAGATATTTCTATGGCAGCACAGATGTTTTACTTGCTAAGCTATAGTCTTCCAAGGGAAAGGCCTTTTGTGCATTTGTATCCCTGGTACCTAACACCATGCCAAAGATTTTAGAAGGTCTTCAAAAACACTTTCTGGGCAAATGGATCAACACGTGGAAGGTGAATGCCTTCAAAGCTAATATTTTGGGAGGCATCCCCTCCCCTCACTTATCCATCATGTAAAGGAGGTTTCTCTCTATCCCTATCCAACAAACTGGATTCAGACATAGGCTCTGTGACTCCTTTTTGGCTCCCTCAACTAAATGGCCTCTCTTCTCTCTTCCTGTAGGCTCGTGCAACATAAAGAAAGTTAAAATTTGATTGTGATTTCTTGCACTGGATTGTATATTTAGAGCATGGGCTGGGACTTGATTCTGAATGTCTCTGGAACAGGGTATTACACAGAGTAAGGATCTTGGGAAGCCTTCTGGTGACCAGAGGTGCAATCACTGAGTAGATTAGACACTTAAATACCTCAGGGGAGGACAGGTGGGCTAACGCTCTCCCTCAGGATGCCCACCACTCTTGCCTGCTGAGATGCCCAGAGACCAGAAGGCAACAGGTTCCAACCCCCAAGCCAGCTGCTTCTTCACCCAAGGCGGGCGAGGATGTTACACCTACTTCCAGGGCACTACTCAAGGAGAAAACAGAGCCCACAGGTATGAGGGCCCCAACTCCAGACTCACCATGTTCATGACAGTGAGGATGAACCTCTGGGCAGCCTCTGCCCCGTGGTACTGCACCATGTCAGCATCAGCCACCACCAGGGTCTCCACCGTGTGCTCGTTGGTAAGCCGTATAGCGTTCCTCCGCTCCCGCCAGTCCCGAGACAGCCTGCCCTTTCTGGGCTTCTTCTTTTCTAGAAAATGGAGACATTTGTGCAGTCCTTGGTTTACTGATTTCTAAAATCCTACAGTGAAAAGGCCTTCCATGGAGCTTCCCCAAGAGAATGGTCAGTCTCCACTGGCCACTGATGGGACCAGCAGCCACAGATCTCTGTGGTCACATGGATGAACCTTAGTACACCAGGTAAGGGTGGCACTGACTGAGCAGAAGAGAAAGAGACAGGGCTTATCCCGTCCACTCCTATAGCCAAGGAAGCGCATGGGGCTGAAAGTCAGAAGGGACACATCCCCTTCAGAGGAACATGGAGAGCATGCATTGTGCAGAGGGAAAGGAAGCGTGGACCCAGTGAGGAGGGATCCGAGAGTCCTCATGTCAACAACACAGAACTGGGGAAAGCATCTGAAAGGTAACCCCCACGCCAGCTATCTTAAAACTGGAACCAAGGAAGCAGGGGCTGAGGGTGATATTCTTATCCATTAAAGAGCCCACTTCTGACTGCTCAAGGTTGCTAGGTAAGGACTGTAATTGTACATGGAAATACCTTTGGCCAAAATGACAAGTTGATACAAATAAAACACACTTTAAGGAGACAACTGTGAACAGGAGTACAGGTCTTCAAATTGATAGCCTTTATTTCCTTTTTGACAGTAGACTACATGGCTGCACCTCTGCTACATTGTACGTGAAGAAAGACAGTCTAAATGTACACCCACAGGCTTCATAGTAACCCAACCACTCTAGAAACAAAAAAATGGATACCATCATATAATCTGAATTACGGATCATAATTTACAAATAAGAATGTGCTGTTCAATGTACAGCCATGAAACAGTAGAAAGAAATCAAAATACCTAGCCATACAGGAAGCTGGCAATGATAAGAAGATATATGGCCATGAAAATCATGTCTGTAAAGATTTAGTAATAAAAAGAGATGATATAAAGAGACGTAGATATAAATCCATATATACAGTGAGAGCTCAATTTTGCAAAAACACAATATGTACAAGTATTTCCAGGCCTGAGAGAGAAATTAAAAAACACCAAAGAGTCTCTGCTCTCCTCCTCTCCTCTCTCTGCTCTCTGCCTCTTCTTTCCTTCTCCTTCGAGCAACCCCCCCCAATAAAATCTCTTGACTGAAAAAAATAAAAATAAAAAACACCAAAGAACTAAAATGTTAATTTTACTATGCAGACTTCAGTTTCCCTTTTTTTCCCTCTATATATTCTAAAATAATAGAATAAACATGAAGTACTTTAGTCAAAGAAATACCATTGAGTTTGAGAAAAACACAGAAGTCACTTTTAAACTCTAAACAATAAAATAAAGCATGAGGGAGCAAATTATGTCATCTGACCTATCACAAAATTGCAAATGAAAGAGGTGAATGTGCATGCCTTGACAAACCTACATTATGGTTCCCTTCTCAGAGCCTATAAGCCAGGCCCACCTCCCATCAAGCCCCTGTTCCTCTGCAGTGGAATAAGAAAAGGAAGGGTCAATTCTTAGATGAGAGGTGAGATCTTAGATGATATTTCCTTGCATATGGGCAGAATGAAAGAGGCCCCAAATTTGAAAACCTATCAGCCTACACCCCCATTCTGCAGACTATCACTGAACACTGGTAAGTAAAAACACAGGTAATGCCCGAATTCTGGTGTCTGTGTGTTTACCAGGCACAGCTTCTGGGATCTGGCCAACCTATCCAACCTGGAATTTGTGAAGAGTCCCCTTGCCTCTACTTGAAAGCAGCAGAGATAACAGGCCTCTCAAGCAAGATCTTTGTTGTAACCAGCACACCCACATTCTCGCAAAAGACCACCACAACCCAAATGGCAGTCACAGATCATCTCAAGGTCAGTATTTACAACTCATCTCTTAATATTACCAACTCATGTTACCATCTGCAGATGTTGCCCCAACAGCAGTTCAGTGTGTATTCCCCAACCTTGTCATAAATTTCCAGACTTTGGTTCAGAAAGAGCTATAGTTTTAGCACAGCCTTAAGAATGCATCAATATACTACTCTAGGAGGCAGCAAGCAAGAACACAGGAGAACTGTGTGCTCTCTAAGAAAAGTAGCTCCTCACTCCCAGACCACAGGAGCAGGTTGCTCCTAAATGTTTCACATGTCAAAATCCTGTACTGTGTGTCAGATTTTCAAGTCCACAAAGTAGGAATAATAAGACCCGTTTCTCCCACCCTAATAGACCTAGGAGAGCTAATATAATACGGTGTCACAGGGTTAAAAGCTGTGAATTAACCTAGGCCCCGACCATAGCAGGTGAGTAAGGAACAGCAGAATATTAAATAGCAGATTAACCTAAGCCCTGAGTGCTGAATAGCAGATGAGTACCGAGTAGCAGAGTACAAAGTAGCAGGTTAACCTAGACCAAGTACAGAGTAGCAGGTGAAACACAGTGGTATGGTTTCTGTGGCCTTGAAGGGTTTTCACTATGACATACTTGCTTCTGTTGTTGCCCTCAGCCCGTGGCACCATGCTTGGTCAGAAATACTCACTGAATGAGGGCTGTGGCTGTGGCTCAGTGGTAGAGCACTTGCCTGGCATGTGTGAGGCACTGGGTTCGATCCTCAGCACCACATAAAAATAAAGATATTGTGTCTATATACATCTAAAAATAATTTAAAAAAGAAATAATGAATGAATATGTGTAGTAAAATGAATAAAAGAGAATAAATATGTCCACTTAGTAATAGCCTCACATTAGTGCAGGTCAGGTCTTGCCACAAAACGAGTGTTAAAAATCCTGTATTTTGTTTTCAGTATTTTTATTTTTCTTCAAATTTACTTTTGGGTTTTGTTAACAGTGCTAGGGACTGAACCCAGGGCCTTGTGCATGCAAGGCAAGTACTCTACCACTGAGCTACACCCAAAACCCTTTTAAATTTTGAAAGAGCATCTCATTAAGTTACTCAGGCTGGTCTCAAACTAGTGATGCTCTTGCCTCAGGCTCCCTGATAGCTGGAATTACAGGTATGCTCCACCACCTTAGCTAATGTTTTTTGGTTCTTTTTAATTGACACATGGTATTTGTACATATTTACGGGGTGCAATGTCATAATTTGCTACATGTATGTAATGTACAATGATCAAATTAAAACAACTATCATTTCTCCTCAAACATCTTTCATTTCTGTTTTAGGAAACTTTGGGCTCTTTTTTTTTTTTTTCTAGTTACTTTTGAAATATACCCTTAATTGTTCTAGACTACTGCTGTCCTACTGTACTACAGAATGTCAGAACTAATTCCTTCTATTTTAGTACCTATTATGCAACCTCGCTCCCTACTCCCTCCCCACTCCCCTTCTCAGTCTCTAGTGACCATCATTCCACAAAACCTCTGCATTTTGTTGAGTGGGAACATGAGATCATGGACCCGAGTCCTATTTCCATGTAGGTGTCTTTCTTAGGGGTGGTGATAAGCAGGAACAGAGGGGCCTGGAAGGTAGGGGGAACCTCACCCTTCTCCCCTCTCTCTGCTCCCATCAACCCCTTCACCAGTAGAGCTTCGTGGCCATTGCCACCCACGACCATATCATTCCCTTCCCTATAGGGAGAAGTACACCTCCCCCTTTAATTCCTTAACTTCATAAACATGCCCTCATACAAATTCATAGATGCCAACATTCGCACATTATAGGCATCTTGAAAAGTAAGAACAAAACACCAACTTCAGGATCACCCAGGTGCTGAATTCCACCTGGGTGCAGGCAGGTGGGTGTATGGCTGGCTGGGAAGTTCTCCAAGCTCTGGACCTCCTTAGCCATCTCCAACTGTGGGACCGTCACTCTGAGAATAAGGAGAGATCCCAGCCAGGCCCTCTCCTGTTGTGACAGACACCAGGGGTCCCTCCTGAAGTCAAGCCTCACAGTCTCTCTTGCCAGCACACCAATGGAGTTGGGACCATTCCATGTTCTTACAGAAGAAACCCCAGATCTTTTTGGAACAAGAGAAAAAGAAAAGGAAGATATAAAGGACATTCTCCACATACTTTCAGAATATTCAAATTGTGATTTATTCTAAAAGTTGGGGACTGCCAAAACAAAAAACAAAAAATACTGAGCAAATATGTAAGTGGCTTTTGTACTTACTAATTTGGCAAACTAAAAAAAAAAAAAACTCAATTATGAATTATCAAACTCTAAATAGAATATATATACACTCTTTTAGTTTAGAAACAATACAGAATTGGGCTGGGGACATGGGGGTATAGCTAAGTGGTAGAACACCTGCCTAGCATGCCTGAGGCCTTGGCTTCCAACCCCTGAACTATAATTAAAAAAAAGAAACAGTATTCAGGTATTTCCTAGGGAAAAACACATGGAAAACAAAATATTTGGTGTGAAACTCCTCCCTAAATTCCTTTACTTCTTGGTACACAAGATTCTTATGTCCCTGATTCCACCAATGCCACTTCCAAGGACAGGCTCAAGGTATTCTCAGTGCCAAGCAAGGCACAAGAAAAATATGCCTCTCTCCATTGTAGAACCAAACTATAACACATGGAAAAAAAGCAGCATGGAGGAAATGGCAGGTACCCAAGGGCACTGGCCATCTCAAGTGGATAGGCAAAGGTCACCTCAGTGCAAGATTATAAAGATCAATGTCACCAGTAGGTGTGGGAAGCCATTCTCGCACGTGATTGGGCACCTCCCTGACTGGCTGTGAGGCGGTTCGGCTAAACTGTGTCAGAACTAATCCCCACCCTTTCTAGGTGCGAGAGCCCATCCGTGTGGGGGTGTGACTAACCATTGACCCTGAGACCAATCACTGACCCTGACCTTGGAATGTTGTCCCCCTCGACCTTCATTGGATGGAATTTTCCCCTGAATTTCTTGTTCCCCAATAAAAAGCCATCCTCTGGCGTGCCCTGCCTCTCTCTCTCTCTCCTGCTAGTCTTGTGTAAACCTCGCTGCCCCACCGGGTGGCTCGAGGCAGGAGCCAGAGGAGGGAGCCGTCTCAGACCTGGTCAAAGAAAAAGGTAAATTGACT